GGTCTTAATTTGGATCCATTACACCTACTAAAACCAAAACCCACATATACTCTTTTATAAACAATTCTAACACTAAATTCTAGTCCAACTATTTAAAAAAAAACTAAAAAAAAATATGCCCCTCAAAATTGTAAAGTTTTGTAATAAAATAGGCCCTAAACTTAGCATTAACCGTCACAATAAATATAAAATCCAGTAAATCTGGTAAAATATACATGGCTCTATAACTATACTTACCAGATCTTTATAAACAATATTATCATCATGCAAAAATAAAAATCCGAATGCTATTTCCTTAGCAATACAAATTCGATTTGTTGCAACATGCCATGTGAAGAGTAATTAAAAAACCTGGTACAATAATTTTTTTAAACAAAAAATAAAATAAAAAATTTCAAGCTAGTAAAGATACTTGCCAATCAAACTGTATCGAACAGAAATTTTTGTTTTTAACTCACTATGAAAAGATTCTAAAGGATTAGTAGAAGTAATTTGAAGGAGAAGTGGTGAATGCTGCCGAGCCCAGAGAGACCATTGTCTCGAATTTTTTAAATAGTTTCTGGTAATATACTTTGCATTGGCTTGAATGGGACAAGAATTTATAGCATCACAAACAACTTCTTCACATCCAACTTGTGTCTTTTTGTGCATTGCATGTACCATTTTATTAAGTGTAGGGCTGTGGTAAATATTTCTTATCCATGTTCATATGACATGTACGGTACAAAGAAGAACATCACATTCTTGCTCTCCTGTAAATCATAAGGTAAAATTAGATTAAATTAAATTAAATTAAAAATAAAAAAAATAAACTAAAAGCTAAACTAAAATAAAATAAACTAGAATAAAATAAAATAAAATAAAAAAATTATATTCCTCTTCTTACCAACAGAAAGACCCGGAAAAGTTAAAGCAATACCATTAGATTCTACGCTGCTTTGATCAAGAAGCATATACTGCGGATTCCAATGTAAAGCAAATTTTTGAATAATTTTTAATGCTAAAGCAACGGCCTCACTAGTTTCTCTATTAATGAAAAAATGAGCTAGAGATATTACCCGAGTCAGTTGACTCATACGGGTTGACCCGACTCGACGGGTTATACAGGTCACGGGTCAAAAATTGGCCTGACCCGAGTCAAACATCATAGCATCAAAATGTAACTATTAACCAATCAAATTAAACTAATTATCAAGCAAAATTTACATAGTATCGTATTAATTAAAATATTAAACCCTCACTTATAAGTGACGTTATTCGGGTAATTGATTATTTTGTATAGTGAATATTGACGTTCTTTCGATTTTTGTTCATAATTTAAACATATAAATAAATTACCGCCAATCATACAAATGTCTTTCTATAAGATCATTAATATATTAGACTAAACCGTTACCAATATGTCATTAGTATGTATTAATTTGCACAATAAATTAACATTTTACATAATCTCTAATTATTTAAATTCAATATCGACTCACAAATGCATATGAGTATAAGGAATAAATCCATTATTTAAATTATTAAAAATATTTTTCATTAATTCAGTCATATCGTTATAAAAATTTTTGATGCCATGAATAACTTCTGTGTATATCATCCTACACGAATCTCATTTTAATCGTATAATAGTTAATATAAATACCAATTCATATTTAATCAGGTGGTCTTTAAATTATCTTTACTTGCAAATTATTATACCAATTCGCAAAAGATGATACTTTTATTTTTTATTATTATTATTGCCACATTTAAATTTTTATTAAATCAAAATTTAATAAAAATTTGTCTATTTGAAAACATGTGAAATCGGCCAAAGTTTTAGTGCCGCTTTAAGATACAAAATTGTTCCAACAAATTGATGATCAAGGTTTGTTCGCTTTTCAGTAATGGTAAGACCTGCGGCTGAAAAAAGGCGCTTGGATAGTACGGATGTTGCTGGAATTGATAGATACTTGCGAGCTAATTTTGCAAGTACTGGATATTCAGCTTTTCTTGATGCCCACCATTGAAGTATATTCGTTTTGCTTGGGGCCCTTGGTAATAGTAAGTATGAATCGAATTCGTTGTTGCTGTCTTTTTGGCTTGGTTGAGAGCAAGTAGGCACTAAAATAGAAAAAATATCCTCTTCAATATTATTAGACATTAAAGAATTTGATTGACTCTCTTTAAATTCATCATTTGAGGCCAGTTCATCATACTCTATATGTGCTTCCAAAATAGTGTAACGTTTTTCATCATCTGTAAAAATTTGCATGTCTTTAGTTCGAGGGTCAAAAAAGGCAGCAAGTCGAATTAATTGGGTCAGTTCTGAAAACCGTGTTTGAATTGATTCAAGAAGATATTTTCCAAAATTTTTAACTTCAATATTAGGTATCAATACGTTATCTATTAATACATTATTAATTTTTGATTTAATATAATTAATCGCAAACCAAGCTTGCGAAAGTGTTGGATACTGTGAACTGGATAATTGCGTCGAAATAATCTCATATGGATGCAATAGTTCAACTAACCCGCCTATTTTTTCCTACTCTTCAGATAACAGTTCTTTTTCCTCGTAGCTTTTTAATGAACCACTCTCATTATCTTCAACTAAAAAAGATTTATACCTATATAGCGCCGGTTTAAGAATAATTAATCGTTTTAACAAGTAAAACGTCGAGTTCCAACGTGTTGAAACATCATGAACTACAGAAAGCAACCTATCCCAATCATCCATTGTTATCTGAGCTGTTAATAAAAACTGTTTTTGTTTCGGGCTTCCACTGAAATGTGATACAATATCCTTGCATTTCTTTATAATATTAATAATTTCAGGGCATCTCTTTAACGCATCATTGACTACAAGATTTAAAGTATGACCAAAACAAAAATTTTTAAATATATTATACCTATCTTTTAACTTTCTTAAACATGACTTAATGTTCGCACCATTATCAGCCGTGCAATACACAACTTTACTTATAAGCTGAAATTTGTTCAAAATTTCAATAATTTTGTTTGCAAGTCGCTCTGCTGTATGGGGGTATGGGAGGTATGAAATCTCACCAACCATTTCTCGCACTTGAAAGTCTCCATTTACCCAATGAAATGTAAGTCCAATGTATGGATCATCGTTATCAGAAGTCCACATATCAGTGGTAAATGAGATGTAACAAATTTCATTGTCATCATGTGCATGTTCACGCATACTTTGCATAACTCTATCCTCAGCATTGATCAAAATTTCTTTCAACTGATCTTTGCTTAAAACGCTAGCTTGAGAGTCCAGATCCTCTATTATTTTTATTAAAGTTTGTGATTTTAGGATTGAAAAGGGCTGGAGTTCTTCAACAATAAAAGCAGCAAGATTGCTGTTGAGTTTTTTTTGCTTTGGATAATTGAATGAATATTTCGCTGCTTTGCTAAATATCTCTACTAATGTTCCTTGTGAGGATTCCGCTATAATATGAAATTCACACTTGTTCCCATCTTTTTTTCTATTTTTACCCGTTTACTTTCCACCATCGCTCTTGAAATGTGATGTTTGCTTCTCAAATGTCTCCATAAATTTGATGTAGTGCCATCTTTTTTGTATTTTGTTCGTGAACAGCTTTTGTGGCGACAAGCCCAATATTCTACATTATTAACTAACACTACCTCATAAAAAGGTTTAACAGGACTATCTCCTGATTTTTCAGCTCTTTTTTTACACTGAATTGTAGATAACTGTGAAACCTCACTAAGATTTGAACTATCTGTTCTAGCTAGATACCTATTAGATTCCACTTCTATGTGCTCTATTTCCAAACTGGTATTTTCTTCTGCCAACTCCAAGTCAGTATCTATATATTCTAACTCTATATCATGATAATTATACTCTTCGTTATTCCCTTCATTATTCTCATTGTAATACTCTTCATTATTCCCATCATAATACCCTTCATTATTCTCATCATAATACCATTCATTATTCTCATCGCAATCTCCTTCATTACTCTCATTATAATACTCTTCGTTATTCATTAGTATGATTATTCATTTAGATGGTGTAAAACTGTATTTGTTCGATTCAGGCAGTTAGCTTTCTAAAGGTAATGAAATAGTATGAATAAATATCTCTTAACTACAAAAATTACAAAATGCAGAATAAAATAAAAATTTCAAGTTCTCATCACCTTTTTATTAATAAAAGTAAAAAAAATAAT